CCTATTAGTCTCCCTTTGTTCATCTTTGCATCATCTTGCAGGTGATGGATTATTCTTTCCTGTATCCTCGTTGTTTTCAATAGATCCTTTCTTACCTTTTCACTAGCTCCACCTGTATACTGCAGATGTGAAACTCTGTCTTCCCTTTTACTTAAATGGTCTTACAAGCTTTTGATTGAGATTTTTATTTACTCTATAGCTCTTTTACTCTACTTCATGACGTGTATTTGTTTCGTCTATTGCTCATTCAAGGAATCCGTCATTTTTCTAATCTCCTCTATTTTTTTTTTCGAATGTCTTCTTTTGAAGCAGTCATAAATTCTTTTACTGATGTGTATTTTTCAGATTGGGTTTCCTCCCTATCTTTCTGTAGTTGCTTCTTTACTTCGGTTGCTATGAATTCTGAGAATTCTTTTTTTATTTCAGAAAAGAACTGCGCTCTGAGTTCTGCTTTATCTTTCTCCTGTTGCTTATTTACTGTCGACGCTATTAATTCATGTATTTGAGCCAAGCTAGTGTCCTCTGCATTTGTTGTGAGTGGGCATTGGCTTTCCTCCATATGTTTCTGCATTTGATTTTTTACTGCAGATGCTATTAATTCAGATATTTTTTTTCTAATCTGAGTTCCTCTATACCTTTCTTCAGCTGTTTCTTTATTGCTTTCAGCTGTATGATTCCCAATTTGGTCTCAGCTGTATGATTCCCAATTTGCTCTGTGTTAGTGTCCTCTGCACTTTTCACAGGTGGGTTTGTGTTCTGAGGTTGCATTTTATTCCTTCTCATCATTTTGTGTAGTATTGTCTTCTGACCTTCATTGTAGTTATAACCTTCGCATGTACTGAAGTTCAGGTGCAGCTCTACAAAGTTTGGATTTCTCCAGCTGTGCCTGGCTTGGGTCTGGCTTCTGTGCTCAGCTCCTTCCTGCTGCTGCCCTTGAGGGTGAACCTGTTGTGCCCCTATGGCAAGATTTTCTGATCCTGGACTAGCAGGATGCTTCTATCCTCTACACTCTCTGCAGGGATTGCAGCTGCAGTGGGGAGAGGCAGCTCTCCCAGATATTCACCACGCCTGGGTTAGGACTGGATCTGGGGGTTCCCGGAACATGGCAGAAATTCCTACCCTTTGTGCAGGGTGTGTGGGGGTAGTACAGATTGATGGGGGGCATCCCAAGTGGGTGGAAGAGCTTTTCACCCATGCTCTTCCTGCGCTGGGACTAGTAGTAAGTCCTGCTCGTGCAGGGTAGCGGGAAGCTCTTCCACACACTCACCCGGCCTGGGCTAGGACTGGGTCTGGGGTTCCCACAATCCCGCAGAAATTCCTACTTGGAGGGCAGGGTGGGGAAGGTGCTCCTGAGTTGTGTGTGTGGGGGGTGCATCCCAAGGGGTTGGAAGAGGGTCTCACCCATGCTGTGCCTGGGCTGGGACCAGTTGTAAGTCTCACCAGTGCAGTGTAGCCAGAAGTTCTCCCACACACTCACAGGGCCTGTGCTAGCACTGGGTCTGGGGGTTCTATCTCCTTTTTTCTATTCTTTGTCTGTCTTCTCTTCTTAATTTCATATATATTTCTTTTTCTCTTTCTTCTTCCAACTTTGCATGCATATATTTGTTAATATGAACAACTAATTTGAAGACAACATTATGCACTACAACAGATATTGTGAAATTCATATTATTTTGTTAAGTGAAATTCTGTATCACTTGTAATTTTTTGTTTTAACACTGTTTTGTACTGGTGTAAATACTATTTTGTAGTTTTGCAAAATTCAACTTGTGCCACAGATACCTGAACTGATATGTCCATTTTTTAACTGTAACACTGTTATTGTCACCTTGGACTCATATATAACCACACAGCAGAAACTTGATTTCTTAAATAAAAAATGTTTTCTTGGTGGTAGAAGGAAGAAGAACAAGATGAAAGCATCACCATCTTTATTTCTTTTGAGGAGTTGTTTTCTTATTCAGGGATATTAATCACTTTGATATGTCCACATAAGATAGAAATATAATGAACCATCTCTGGGATCTCAAAATAAAATTAATCACTTCATAAGAGAGCCATTGCATGACCTCATTTAATCCTTGTTACATAAATTTCCATATTCTGTTTTCATCTCATTGTTGGGTAAGTTTTTAAGGCATTAATATGATGAAAACCCAAGCATTACATTTCTTAAGAATCATTGTATTAGATTTAAAGATAATATAATTTACCTTTTTCCCTAAGGGATTTCTATGTCCTCTATTCAGGTTAAAGTCAAAGAACTATCAGTTTGTTCTGGCCTTGGTTTTTGCCATTGAAGAGATCAACAGAAACCCCCACCTTTTACCCAATATATCTTTGGGATTTGATCTTTACAACATCCCATTCATTGAATGGGGTGTGATGGATATTTCTTTCACTTGGCTCTCAGGCCTGGACAAAAGGATCCCTAATTATACCTGTAGAAGAGAAGGCAATTCTATAGCAGTGCTTACAGGAACATCGTGGGCAACATCTGCCCAGATTGGGACACTTCTGAAACTTTACAAATTTCCACAGGTAAGGGTAGGTGGGATAAAGCAAAATAAAATTATAACTTGGTGGCATTCTTAAATGGCTGAAGGAGAAGGAGAGGGTAAGATTGGGTTTCTGTATATGTAAAACTGTATACTGTAATCATGTAGTCAGAAATTTGAAGGGGCATGCAAATTACCTTGGTTTGGCATAATGAGGAGTGTAAGCTTAGTTTCAAACAAGAGATTTTCTAGGTAGTCTGATCCTGTTGTATATTTATTTAGATAATTCTCAGAAAGTGGGTTATTACTTTAAGAATGGGATACAAATTCTTCCTTCACATTATTTCAAGATGATTTTAAATGTGTTATAGGACAGATATTATGTTTTAGATCAATCCTCCCTCTCATTCTTTTTCATATTTGTCTTTTCCTTTTAGCTCACCTTTGGACCTTTTGATCCTATCCTAAGTGACAAAAGCCAGTTCCCTTCTGTATATCAGATGGCTCCCAAAGATACATCTCTGGTCCTTGGCATGGTCTACTTGATGGTTCATTTTCACTGGAACTGGGTTGGGCTTTTCATCTCAGAAGACCAGAAAGGTATGGAGATTCTCTCAGACTTACAAAGAGAGATGGACAGGAACAGAGTCTGTGTAGCTTTTGTGGAAATGATTCCAGTCAGCAGAGTGTCATATTCTTCAGATGTCTTGTTTAACCATCACCAGATCATGAAATCATCTGCAAATGTTATTTTCATTTTTGGGGATACTGATTACCTGCAAGGTGTAATATGTAAATTAGGGCAAACCTTAATGACATGGAAAGTCTGGGTCATGAATTCACAATGGGATTTTGCTATCACTCCAAAATATTTTATGTTAGATTTATTCCATGGGACTCTCATTTTTTCACACCACTATAGTGAAATCTCTGGTTTTACAAATTTTATCAAGACAGTTAGCCCTTCAAAATACCCAGAAGACATTTACCTTGCTCGGTTATGGTATTCTTACTTTAACTGCTCATTTTCTGGTTCTAACTGTGAAACCTTAGAAAACTGTCTTCCCAATGCCTCCTTGGAATTGTTGCCTAGACATCTTTTTGACATGGCCATGACTGAAGAGAGTTACAATATATATAATGCTGTGTATGCTGTAGCCCACTCTCTTCATGTGATGCTTCTTTATCAAACAGAAACACAGCCCATGCAAAATGGGAAAGGTGGAGTGCTTTCGCCTTGGCAGGTAATGTCTCTTCCATTACATGGTTTCAATTGTCAGGAAGTTTGCTTTCTAAAATGATTTTAAGACCTCCGAATGAGTTTCTTTCTCCAAAAGCACATGAGGACTGCATTTCTTTCATTCCCAGGATATAAATCAAGGCCTGTATAGAAGTAGTCTTGAGAACAAAGTGCCATTCGTAAGAATAAAACAGGTTCTAAGTCAACATCTATGTTTTGTGTTGTAAGTGCTCCCCATACACTGTCCAGTTAATGATTTCCGTATGAAAACCCTAGATTTTTCCTGTAGTTTTCTTAAATAACAAGAGATGAAACAGTTGCCTGCAAAATTAAAGCCTGCTATTATCTGAAATATTTTATATAAAGGATCTCATTTAATTATACTCTGTGTACGAACAGCCTCATTTTATAATACTACTCTGAATGCTCAGAAAATGAATGGGAATGTCCATATTTTACTAAGCTATTGAAATTTTCTGGGTTCCCACATCCACTGATTATTTAGGTAGCTTTCTCTCTGTCTCTGTCTCTGTCTCTGTCTCTGTCTCTGTCTCTGTCTCTGTCTCTCTCTGTTTCTGTCCCTGTGCTTTTGACCAGGGTGACCTTGAACTTATGGTAATTCTGCCTCTTAGCCTCCCAAGTACTAGAATGACAGGAGTACACTACCACATCCAGGTGTGTATTTCTCGGCAGGCATATAAGCTGCTGAGCTATCTCCCCAGCCTAGGTGTGGATTTCTTTCTTTTGTTCTTTTTTTTTTTTTGGTTTAAATTTATTAGCACATATGTGTTTTCTGTGGGCACAGAATATACCCTTAGAAAAATTAGAGTAGCTTCATTCTCCACAGGATTTTATTTGTTAGATTTCACTGATGCCTGATATAAATTTGCATTATGAAGCTGAAATTAAAGACAGTTGGGCTTAATCTAATCTGGGTCTTCCATCTTAATTCTGGGACAAGATCATCTTTGTTTGATGAATTTCTTTTAGCTCCACCACGTTCTGAAGGATATCAAATTTGTCAATCTTGCTGGAGACCAAGTGAATTTGAATGACAAAAAGAATGTGGATGCATCGTATGACATTCTGAACTACTGGAATTTTCCACAAGGTCTTGGGCTTATGGTCAAAGTAGGAACATTTTCCCCACATGGTCCATATGGTCAACAATTAACTTTATCTGAGGATATGATAGAGTGGGCCACAGGATTTAGGAAGGTGGGTCAAATCTAGTCGCACTTCTTTAAACTGAATATAAATAACCAAAATCTTATTTTGGATTTTAGGTTCTAGTTCTCGCTGAGGTGTCACCCAATGTATGTGTAACAACTCCCAATTTAAGGGATTTTCTTATGCACCGACTCAGATCTATTATAAATTAACATTTATTTCCCAATATGTTTTTACATGTTAATACACCTCATCATAATCTATACACAGCCTCTGTGTTAGTCAGCTTTCATCATTATTACAAAATGCTAAAATACTTTAGTCAAGCAACATACTCCATGACCAGTTGCTTTATTGCTTTCTATCTTTGATGCAGTACTAGAGCAGGAAAATGTGGCAGAGGAAATGTTTTACCTCCTGGATAATCTAGGTAGCAAACAGATAAACAGGATGGTATCTGAGTCCCAATATTCTCTATGATAGAATACCTACAATGGCCTAACTTCCTCCAAACCCTCAAAGTTCAACAAATATAGAGAACAAGCCCTTAACAAAAAAACTTATTGGAGAATTTTATAAATGAAAACCATAGCAGTACCCAATTAATTGAACATATGACAATATAAATTGCGTTTACTAATGGCCCAACTCTAAAAGGTGTAGTTTGTTTTTGTTTTTGTTTTTGTTTTTTGTTAGATAGCACTGTGAAGAGTTAACAACACTTGTCTGCCTTTCTTCAGACTCCACCCTCTGTGTGTAGTGACAGTTGTGGTCCTGGATTCAGAAAAACACTTCTGGAGGGAAAGGCTGCATGCTGCTTTGATTGTAGCCCTTGCCCAGAGAATGAGATTTCTAATGTGACAGGTAAGTTCATTCCTATGGAGAAATTCTCACCTCCCATTCATAGTTTCCAATACATTCAAGTAGGTAGAAAAAAAACCTCTAGAAGTGGACAGTAGAACCAAAATTCTATCTTACGTCAGTTGTTATGTTGTTATGATCAATAATATTTCTACATAAAATAATATACTTTTTTCAAATCTCATTTCCCTCCTCTCCCTTCCCATCTTCCTCCATCTCTATGTTCTCCTTCCCATATGCCAAAGATTCATCTATTTCCTATTGTCTGTTTTTATTTTGCACCTTATTTATATATTGCAGTACTCATATGAGAGATACCATGTGTGTTTTAAGCTGTGTGTGATTTGCTTCATTTAACATTATGGCCTCAAGGTGCATCCATTCAACTACAAATGATTCAAGTTTATCCTTGTTATCACAGAGTGGTACTCCATTATACATAGATAGCACATTTTTAAATCCATTCTTATGTCTATGGACTTTTAGGCTGCTTTAAAATTTCAGCTACTATGTGAATCTGTCCAGAAGGAAGGAATTACTAAGATGAAGACAAGGACAGGAGAGGAAATGAAGGAGACACAGCTACGTCTGTATGCAGGGTGGCATGGATAATTGCACAGTGGATTTCTGCTGGTCTATGAAAAGGAGTAGTTAGTGCTTAATTTTTGATCTTATTTTTTCCTCTTTCTGTTTAATTTCTTATAACTTTCTTTTTCTTTTTTTGTTTATCCAATTTTGCATGCATATATCTGGTATTTGGAACAACTAATAAGAAGACAACACTACATAATGCAACAAATACTGTCGAATTCATATTATTTTGTTTCGTGAAACTCTGCATCATTCCTATTTTTAAATACTTTTTGGCATTCTCTTTTAAAAAATTTAGCTGTTATGAATTGTCCTGCTGTAAAAATGGGTATGCATGTATCACATACTGTGATATCTTATTAGCTTTTGGGAAGATAGCTAGTAGGGAAAAAGCTAGGTCAAAAGGGATTTCTAATTTCAGGGGGATGTTTTTGAAGAATTTTATTCCAACTTTTACAGGATTGTACTAATTTAAACTTCTACAAACAACATAGGGGGTCCTTTTGCATCACAGCTTCTCCAGAAGTTCCTGTTGGAGTTCTTAAATGTGTCTGTTCTTTCTGGAGTGAGATAGAATCTCAAAGTTGTCTTGATTTGCATTTTTCAAATTGTCAGTGATGTTGAGTATTTTTTCATGTTTCCATTTCTACTTCTTCATCTTAGAAGTGTTTGTTTATCTCAGATGATCATTTTTGGTGGGTTTTAAAATTTGGGGAATCTATTTTTTAAGTCTTCATAGATTTTAGATATAATTCCTTTGATCAATAGTCAGAAAAAAAGAACAAAAAAGTAACTGTTCTTCCCATTTTGAGAGTTTTGTATTCACTTCATTGGTAGTTTCTTTTGCTGTGCAGAAATGGTTTAATTTGATGTGACCTCATTCGTTTGTTGTTGGTATTATTTCTTGTGCAACATAATGTTTTTACCAGCCATTTGCTTTGGATACTACTGGGTAGAAGAATTTACCATTTTTTGAGCATGCCTCACAAAGACACAGAGGAGGATTTCCTGAATGGTGAGCCAAGAAAGAATGATGAGCCACGTGTGTTTGAAGTGAAGTATTTTAGGGCATTAATGACAATGTATTGTTTACATAATAACTTTAAAAATTTAACTGTTCATATATTTTGAGTACAGCACATATAAATGAAGTTAAATTCATATTTAAATCTTCGCACATAATTTTAATGATTACCGACAATGGTGAATATTTTGTCCTAATTATTAACACATATTAATTTTAAAACTAATGGATTTTCCTGCGACATATTTTTTTTTTAAATTTATGTATTTGGTTCAGGGTCTCACTGTGCAGCTCGGACTTGTAGTGCTCCTCCTGTTTTCAGCCTCCCCAGCACTGGGATTAAAGGTGTGCATCACCCCAGCTGGACTCAATCTCTGGCTCAGCGTGCTTGGGGCAGGGCCAGTGAGACACGTGGTACTGGAGAGGTACCTGTGCTTGCAAAAGCAGGCATTTAGCCCTCTGAGCTATCTCGCTGGCCCTTCCTGTGACATTTCCATAAACACATATATCATGCATCACTCATGTCCACCCTTGGTTCTTCTCCCTCCCACCTCTCATTGGCTTCTCTCCACCAGTGTACTTTTCCAGTATCTAATACTCCCTCTTCAACTTTCATGTTCTCTTTCCCTTTCTCTCAGTCTCTCTCTCTCTCTCTCTCTCTCTCTCTCTCTCTCTCCCTGTGTTTCTCTCTGTGTCTTTCACCAAATAGAAGAGAAAGTGTGGTGATTTTTTTCAGTATTTGTCATACTTCACTTAATATGACATCCTCACATACCATTCATATTCCTGTATACAACAAGATTGCATTCATTGCACTCTACTTTATGGCTGAATAAGAGTCGATATACACTATATTTTTTATCTTGAATTCATGTTAATGTACACCTAGTCTGATTCTATACTTTGGTTATTGTGCATAGTGCCACAACAAGCTCGGGTGTATGCAGGAATCTCTTTTCTATTTTTACTTCTTTATCTTTCGTTAATTATCCATGAGAGAGATAACTGGATCCTTTAGAACTATTGTTTTCTGTTTGTTGCAGAACTTTTATAGCTTTCCATAGCTACTGTACCAGTGTACATTTCTACCACCAGTGCACAAAGTGCCTTTTCAGGTCATTTGAATATTCTAGGGGTTTGGTTTGCTTCTTTTTAATATTAAGTGAAGGTTTTTAAAATATATTTTGGTTATTAATTTGTGTCATATAGATAGATGGAAACTCATTTTTTCCTGTTTTCTTGGGTCTACCAGAGCTTTTTATTTAATGAAGTTCATTTACATTCCTAGTGAGGGAATAGTGGCCCACATCAACAGTCTAATGTGTTTCCCTTGTATTTTCATCCTGTAGTTTCAGAAATTTCAATTTTTTTTATTATCTCTTATGCATTTCAGTTTACCTTTGTACATTGCTCTAGTTGCAGTCTTCTAGATGTGGACACCCAGTCCCCCCAGTACCAATCTTTGAAGAAGCCATCCTGTCTCCAATGCATATTTTTGGCAACTCTTGAGAATGAGTTGACTAAAGCTGCGTAAATTATTTTCTGGGTCCAGTATTCCATTTCCTTACTTTACATGTTTTATTTTTTTTTTAATGCCAGTATTATGCCATATGGGTTACTGTGTCTCTGTGGTGTATTTTGAAATCAGGTATTGAATTGCCTCTACTGTTGCCTCTATTGTTCAGAGTTGCTTTGGCTACATAGAGATTTTTATACTTCCATATGAATTAATTTTTCTCCTATATATGTAGAGATTACAGTTCATATTTTGATGGACATTACAAGAAATTTGATTGTCCTTTGGGTGGTATTGCCATTTTAACAGCATTAATACTCCTAAACCATAAACATGAAAGGAGTTTCTGCATTTCAATTCTTTTCACACTTTGTAGGGCCTATGAGAGCTCAGTGGACTAAGTACCTGCTTAGGCAAGCACAGGGATGGAGGTTCAGTCTCTGGTATTGCATGCCATACCAGCCCAAACCCCGGGTGCATGGAGTCTGTGATCAAGTCTGGGCACAGTGGCACACACCTGTAATCCTAGTGCCAGGGAGGCTGAAAACAGGATCACAACAAGTCCAAACTGCACAGTGAGACCCTGAACCAAGTACATAAAATTAAAAAACAAAACAGAAAAACGTTTATAATTTTTCCTTGAAGAAAACACCCATACCTTTTTTTATTCTTAGAAATTTTTTGTTTTGTGACTATTTATTGGGATATTTCTGGTTTGCTCCTTAGTAAGTTCATTATTGATATGTAAAAAAGTATTGATTTTTCCATAAGATTGGTAGTGTCAGAAGTTTTTGACTTGAGTCTTTTACTATATTGGAATATTTTGCTGAATTCACGCACCTACAATATTTAAACGATAATGGATTACTCTTCTCTGACAAAACTAAACAAAAAAGGGGGATACAAATGAAAGACCATTTTGTTATGTGTATATTCAAAATAATCAGGATAGATATACAGCTGCATTCTTTTAATTCAATGAATAGAGAGATTTATTCCTAAAAAATAAATAAAATAAAGTTTTCAGTGAAAAAAATATTGATTTTTGATTTATTTTCCATGCCATTTTACTGAACTTTTAAATTCTTCTGAGAATAAGATATTTATATCCTACTTCTTTAATAGTGGTAGCTAATGAAGGCTCAGAGACTATTAATCTCTTTTCAGTTTGCTAATTTATTTGCATATAGTTCTTCAAAGTATTTTGAAATAATAATTTGAATTTCTGTGTAATTAGTTGTAATATTATTAAAATTTTTTGATCTATGTATTTATTTATTTATTTGGTACAGGGTCCTGCTACATGGCTCAGACTCATAGTGATACTTCTGTCTCAGCCTCCCCAGTGCTGGGATTATAGGCATGTACCACCACATCCAGTTTCAGTGGCTGGCATGGCATGCAGTACCCAGGATTGAACCCAGTCCTTGTGCTTGCCAGGCAGGTGCTTAGACCACTGAGCTATATACCAAGCCCCCAATTGTAATGTTTTTTAACTCTAACTTTTTTTTAGAGTTGTGTATTTCTTTTCATTAGTTCAGCTATAGATTTCCAAGTTTTTTCTCTCTTCACAAAACAACATAAGTCATTTATTTAAAAAAATGGATATAGGGCCTAGGAAGAGAGCTCAGTGGCACATGTGCTTGCCTGGCAAGTACAAGGTCCTGAGTTCAATTTCTGGAATGTGCCCCCAAAAGGGTATAATTTAAGATAATAATGTTAAGTGAAGTAGATATGCAAACTTAAATATCACATAGTTTCTATTGTATGCGAAATGAAAAGTACAAATGTACTAAAGTGCAAAATAAAGGGTTGATTATAGGAATAGGATACAAAAGAGGTGGATGATTTGCAAATGCACCAGGGATCAAA